TGCAGAGTCCTGCACCTGGTCAGGAATAATAAAATGCATCAGTACAGGTTAGGAGATCTGCTAGAGAGCAGCTCTGTGGAGAGGGACCTTGGAGTCCTGGTGGACAAGTTATCCATGGGAAAGCAGTGTGCCCCTGTGGCCAGGAAGGCCAATGGTCTCCTCGGGAGCACTGAGAAAAGTGTATCCAGCAGAACAAGAGAGGTCCTCCTCCCCCTCTGCTCTGCCCTGGTGAAACCTCACCTGGAGTATTGTGTCCAGTTGTGGGCTCCCCATTTCAAGAGGGACAGAGATCTAATCGAGAGAGTCCAGCAAAGGGCTAATTCCACCTATTTTAAGAAGTGTTGCAGTGTATCTGAAAGCTGAAATAATAATTTCTGATGGGCAAATTAATCTGATATGTTTCCACTGCACTGCTTAGGCTGAAATCAAAGAATGTAAAACTGGAAAAAAGCCCACAAGATATTAAACCACAAAGAAGAAAATAGCAGCACAACTCAGCTTTCAAACTTATGACATGTTCTGCCCAGAAGTATAGGAATGAAACATATGTCTTACTAGAAATGCATCCCCAACATCACAATACCAAAAAAATCCCAGTCTTAATTCCTCTGAAAAATTGTATGAAAACTACTTAAAACAAGACATACATACCACTAAGGATCTCATTGCTGCTGTCCCAAAAATCTGCAGATTTGGATGGTCTGTGGTAAAATTCATCTCTGTTAGCTGCTAGAATAAGCCTGTAGAACACAGGAGGAAGGAGACACTATTACTTACAAATAGGAACTTCACAGTACAGGCAGGAACAGAAACCAATTCTCACCTCAGCATTCCCTCGCCTTAAGTTGCCCTCCCATTTCACCTTCATCAATCAGTGTAAAGGCTGAGTGACATCTGGCAGGAGCCTTTTCTCTCATTGTCTTGAGACATTCAATATGTCTGTCTTGTGTGTGTGAGGCAGCTATTCTTTTCAAAGAATAATACTTAGAATGCAAGAGATTGAATTAAGTAATCTTAAGATTCCTCAGCATGGGAAATTAGAGCTCAAAGAAAATGTAAAGGTAACCCACAGATTTGTAGGTAATTAAAAAAAAAAAAAAGAAAAAGTCAGAAGCATGAGTGTTTTTACTGGATCATTACTTAGGATCATGTAGTTACAGAGGGTTTTTTTAAAGCTAAGTTTGACACCTAAAGCTCTGTTTATGTGGTTCAAACACACAAGTCAGATGCTTTTGTATGTAAGTACTCTGAGCAGATTAATTTGTGGTAGTCTCAAAGGTCCAGCCCCACAAAAACTCATTTGAAGAGACAACATCAGGCTCAAAGAGGCAGAGAAGTAAAGGGAAAAGGCAAGAAGAGGTAACAGTGAAGAGGTATTTTGATGGCATTTTTTCGCTCCTTTTTTTTTTCCCCCTCTTCCATGTGTAGTTCCTTGCAGAATCTGAGTTCTACCAGTAGGGCAAAATAGTTGAATCATTAACATGAGTCTGCCCTTGCAGCAGAGAACCTACAAGCAGTGCTGGAGACTACACATGCAGGATGTAGGAAGAAATTATGAAAAACAATGCGACTGAGAAACACTGCCAGATGAAATTCATTATTTATGTTTAGGAATAATATATCACTCCACAAGACCAAGTGCTCTCTTGACAAAACCATGCTGCAGCTCTTCATGTGCCATCTAAAATTTGGTAATTTTAGAAAACTTGTACTTTGGTAATTATCTTTGTACTTTGAGAATTCTCATAAATGGCATCCGCAGATATGAAAGACCAAGTTCAACACTATATTTGACATACAAAATAGAACAGGTCTTCCTCAAAATTTCCAGACTTGGCAGCAATGCAGATCAGTCAAATTCAATGATAACACCAGTTCATGCCAGTCAGGCTGTGAATGCAAAGCAAGTAAGATTTAAAGAGTCAGTACAGTTAGAACAGCTTCAGACGAATTTAGAACAGTCTCTGTTCTTGGCCTTTGAAAAGCAAAAACTGTTCTCTGTCCATTTCATGCAGCAGAAGTCATTAAAACAAGGCAACTTGTTTGGTGTACTCCCTTACGGATTACACAAACACCTTACTGAATGTATGCTACAGTCATTTCCTTAGCAATGTTAGTACTGGAAAATTAGAAAGAAAAGCCCAGGCTAATCTGACTGTGCACTTCCATCTTTTGAACCTAAGGAAGTTAACATTTTCTGTTATTCAAAAGCAATAGAAGGCAGGAGAAGAAAACAAATTTAATGACATACTGCAACATCAAATAGATGCAGGGTATCTACTAATAAAGGCTGGAGCTGGAAGTGTTACCGGGTTTCCATGCTGAGAATCAGCATTCAGACACTCTCACTTTCAAACATGTAGATGAGCTTTTATTGAATGGTGCTCCTCCATCAGTCTTTTTAATAATTCCAAAATAATGTCTAAAGAGTGTTTTTAACTGATAGAACATCCTCACTTGAAGAGCAGGTACTGGGCTTGGCTGATCCAAGTAAAGGGCAAAAGACAGCTGTAACCCCAGGGAAGCCAGATGCAGGAGACTCAGGGGAACAGATGAGTGCAGACGCACTGGTGCACAGTGCATCCAAGCAGTGTCATGATCCAAAAGCCAGAGCTTCCGAAGTCCTGCTAATTATTACCCTTCACTTGACTTGCCTTCGTTTCAATTGTGAGCATTCCTCATTCCCTCTAGCTATGCCGCTTACTACTTAAATGAAATGCCCTCTTTCAGCAACCTGCAGATTTTCTTAACCAGTTTCCTACCATCTCAGTATCTTCTCCACTGTCGGTTCCTCCTACCAGCCCCACATCTATTATATTTGCACAGCAGAAGCCAAGTTAGCCACTGTAAACTTAAATTACACAATGCAATTTTCATTCTAATTTTTAAAGCACAACAGGAATCATTTCCAGTGAAACCTCATTCCTCCACTCAGCATTCAGGCAGACTGACATTTTCTGCAGGTTTCTGGCCTTTCCTGCAAATTCATCTGTTCATTAACACAATGTTTTAAACATCATGAGGCATCAGTTGCACATTAGAAATACTATATATACAGAATTATAATCAGCTATAGAGAAAATAAAGGCTAACACTTCAATGGCATCCTTTGTGTACAAATGATACTTAGTATTTTCCTCAAAGTCACCATCTGTTGGAAAGCATAGCCTATGTACATTTTTATCTTTGCAATGCTAAATAATCTTAGTATCATTCCATTCAGACTTGCATTATTTATCCTCTTCTAGCTGATGTTAGCCTTCAATCTATAGGCTTTCAGCTGGTTTACCATATTTGTCATCTTGCTTGAATACCCTCCTTTTACAGATTTTTATTTAAATAAACATCTCTACAGTTAAAAAATAGCTTGGCTAAAGTGCATGTCTCATTTCCTGAAGCCCAAATTATATTTTACCTTCAATAATTTTTGACACAAAATGACCATTTGTTTATAGGATCTAAATACTAAAAGTAAGCAAAGTCTTTCTGGTGTGATTAAATAATCCCCACCTCAAGTTTAATACACAGACTCCTAAATTTAACACAAGGCTAGTACACAGGATCACTATAATCAAAACATCTTCATTTAGTCTTTTATGAAACATAATCATACTGAAAAGGGGTAGTATTAAGTAACCCTCGTCTTCTAATAAATTGCAAAAAGCCTGTTCAGCTATTTTTATAGCTGAAATAATTCAACTGCATTAGGATTGATGTATTAAGATTTATTTTAATGTTGAGACAGAGAGAGGAAAACATAATAAATCATTCCATTAAAGCAATTTCCTACAACATAATTCAGTTCCATAAAAAAGATTCTGTGATTATAGCTTTGAAGCTTGAAACATGTATTTATTTCAAAGATGCACACAGGATAGTTCAGAAAGATGTAAAGGCAACATGTTACCTTTGACAATAATAATGGACTACAGTAAAGTGTTTGTTACACTGCACTAAATTTTACTACAAACAGGTCTGTAGAGAGAGAACAGAGGAAAAAAGTGCAGAACAGCAAGTTGCAAGAGTACAGGAAGATAGATTTGTTAGTGTATCACAAAGGTGAACTGTAAGCTTTTTGCTTAATTAGGCACTCGTGGAAATTGGCCAGTGTACTGCTCCAGAAACCAATGTCTACCCGGACAGAAAATTCTCCTACGTGTTACAGAGAGCATGTTGTAGCTTGCCAGAGTTTGACAAGACAATGGCCAAAGACAGACCGTTTGTCTTTTCAACTTTTAATGCCTGTTTTACACACTCTTAATTAGAGATGCAAAGTAGAGGACAGTAAGAAAAGTAACTGTAGATGCTTATTTTAGCATGGACAAATTAGTATGTATTCAGGTAGAGGAATCCACTTCTGGTTAGGAAAACTGTCCCAAGACCTCACTGTGAAATAACCAACACACACGACTTGGCAGGAAAAAATATGCTTAGCAAGAGACTAGTATAGAGAGGTCTAAAGGCTATAACACTGTTCAGAGAATGAGGAGAGCTGGGTACCACTCCCAAATGATACTCAAAGATTTGTCTGTCAGAAAGCAGAGGCAAAGGTGGAAAAAAAAAAAACCCACAACCTTTAGCAACAATTTAAGAAGAAAGAACTTCAACATTTTTCTGAATAAAGAAAAGCAAAAGTATTTAGTTACGGTGTGTTAAGGAAAAAAAAAAAGGAGACTAAGGTTATGTATCTGATGTTAAAATCAGACACTAAAACCACTATAGCCTGGCACCGAAGCAGATGGTTCAGAGTAATTTATCTCAGAGGTATAGAGCAAGATACTGCTTAACAAAAGGTCCCAAGAAAGTTAAATACAATGAAACATCCCTGAATTTCAGCCAAAAACATCTCAAAAGTATCTTCCTATTTTGACACTGACAGCAAGTTGTTTTCTGTCATAAATCAATAATTTCAATCTTGATGCTATTTCTTCACAGCAAGCAAACCACTCTGTTTTACTTTTAAATATTGATCATGGCATAAAGTTCACTTGGCAAGCAACTACAGTTTACATCCAAAGGATTTTCTCAAGAAGCATCAAATTGATGAATCTGTCTTTTGCTAACTAGCAACACAAAGAAAGGCGGACCAAATAAATGGATATATTAATTCAGCACCATTTGTATCGTAAACAAAAGCCCTTTTTAGGCAGATTCCAGATGCAGAAAGGAATGCACTCCATGGACAACTGAAGTTTCAGTTCTCATTTCCTTTCTTTCTATAGAATGGTATCCACCTCTCAAAACAAAAGGGCAGGAAAACAAGTGAATGAAAGACAATGATTTATGGAACATACTGACTCTGACAGTTTCTGGATGAATATCAATACTTGTGCCACACAAAGTAATATGGAATCTATAACTATGCATAAATAGAGAACGCAAAAGAACTCTACAGTCTTCTTAGTGCCCTGAAGTGCTATCTTCCCATGACATACTGAATCTACTCCAAAGTACTGATGTTGGATATGAACTTTTAAAATTAAGGGCTGTGATGAGAGCACTTTATGTTAAGTAGAAAGCAGGACTTTCAAACTCTGGATTACAATATTTAAAGGATTTAACCTATGCCATGTGATGGATCATCAGCAATATGTCCATGATTAAAAAGCCCAAGTCATCTAATATAGTCTAAAAACAGTTCTCAAAAGGTTACACAGCAAGTCCTCCAGTGGGAAAAGTCATGAAGCTCAACATTACCAAAGCATAATTAAACATATCTTGTCAGTAATACCAACTTGAGTTTGCAATCCAAATATAGGCTACAAAAAGTAATTGTATAAAAAAAAAACCCCACAACTGGTTTAACTAGAACCATATTTACCTGTATGCATTTTTTGAAACTGGTCGGGGGTCAAATTTGAACAGAAGGATGCACATTGAAGAACTGAAGTTTAAACTTGCTTCTTCCACAAAGGCTCAATGCAAGGTCATTCTGCAATAGCCTACAAAGTAAATAAAGATTATCTATTATACTAAAAATTACAAGAAGATAACCTTGCTTCTATGCTGAAGCTTAAAGATGGCAATGCTCTTACTAACAGCTCATGATAAAAATAAGTAAATAAAACTGGACTTCCAAAATAGATTTGTTTCAATGAATGGTTTACTAACAGAATTCTTATAATAGTTGTTTCAATGTTACGCTTGAGTAATTCATATTTTCAGGGAAGAAACAAACATCAGGAAAATATGGATGAAGTCTAGAGTACTCACAGTACATGAAAGAATATCATGTAATCTTCTGCTAATTACCAATAAAATAAACCTACTTCTTTTCCTGTCTTAAGTAAGGCAAAATGTTTCTGTCAGAGTAAAGGAGAAAATGAGACAAACTGTTGCAGAATCTGGAAAAAGCTTGACCAAAGACACCCCTAAACCTGTAAATAAAGTATACTTTAAGGCCAACCTATTACTAAAGTCCAGGATAAAGTATTGTTGTTCACCATCAGGAAAAACACCAGGTACAAATAAAAATACACTAGACCAGAATGTACATTTTAATTAATATTTTCCAGCACTTGTGATATCTTTAAAATTTTGTCCACACTCAGATGGCATGGCAAACATGTTTTCTATTTCAAAACCACATAACAGCTTCCAAATATTTTGTGTTCCCTCAATGAAAATTTTTCTGGAAATAAAACTGCAGCCTGATCTTTACTTTTTGTGGCTGTTAAAACAATTATCAGAATGCTACCAACCAACCACACATAACCATGTTTTATGGCTACTGAAAGCTTTTTCCTTGCAAGAGTTTTCAAGGTAGGAGAAGAAGGGAGGGAGTGAGGCAGAATTCAACACCAAAACTCCAGGAGCAGCTGAGCAACCCAGTGACTGAAACCACTTCTGTACAAAAAGTAGGATTTTTAACCATACTTCCAGATATACAAAAAGTGTCTCTTTTTTTAATTTCCACATCTTTTACCTTAAGAGATATCAGGAAATAGATGATTTTGACTACATTTGATCTACCAGAAGTAGAGCTACAAATGCAGCATTTATACAGTTGTTTTTTTTTTTTTAAATTAACAGCTTGCCAGTAGCTGCTGGCTCCTGTTAAGTCACAGTTCAGCACTACAACTAGCCTTCTGTCGCTGTCATAGCACACCAAGTTCAGTCTTGCAATCAAATATTCTGTAAAGACACTTCTGTTGTAGGAAATTAAATCACTGAAGAAGAGGTATAACACTCCTGACATCCTTGCCAAAGTTCAAGAAAATTAGCACAAGGGAGCATGCATATCTATAGATATAGATATCTCACAAAGTACTTTAAATTCTGTTCTATCAAAAAAGGGATTTCCCTTCCAAGATGGTTTCAATGTCTACTAGCTAAGAGCAGCAATAGCACAGCTATCCCTACTATTTTCTCTTTAACAGGTTACACACTAAGGCATTAAACAGAATTAAAGTCCACAATAGGCTTTCTTTGTCCCTAACAAGTCAATCCCAAAATAACTGGTTTAGAAATTAATCATAAACTGAAGACACAGACTTGAATTTCGATAACTCATTTACTCGCCAGGTGTTTACAAAGATCCACAGCCAGCTTTAATTAGAAAACCTAATCAATTTTAAGAAGGTGTTATCACCCTTCGCAGACTCCTACTGTTGAATTTTCAACAGACTGCAATCATATTGGACTTGAACACCCAAACTACCAGCTCTGGAATATTTTTGTCTTCTATGTATAGATCTTGTTAGCATCTCACAAAACTCGGGATCTTGCACCCCAGCTGCTTCATGTCACTAAGCATAAATAACACTGACCTGTTCACATCTTCCACTTCAACTCTTAAAAAGACACCGAAGCAAAACAAAATTACACTCAGAGTTCAAATCACACAACACAAATTACCTGGAGCAACAGACAGCTTACACGAATGAGGGCACAGTGCCATTTTCAGATAATAGAATTAAAACATAACTCAACCCTAGGTATTTCTGAAATTCGTTTGTTTGTTTACTTCAAATTCCTAATTCTGTCTGAATAACCTTGCAGTATCTATATGCCATACCTTATATCTCAGTTTCTTGATTCAAGATAACTTTTCTTCTACCAGAAGGAACAAATTGCTCATCTTATTAATGATTTCTCCTCTGGAACATTACATCATTCTGCACCAGCTACCTTTCTTTTAACCTTGTCTCGTCTCAGTCCAGAATCTTCTTGTCTTGCTCTGTGTCCTTTCCCTCACCTCCAAACCTACTCCTACCTCCAGATACTTGCTCTCCCACTGGAGATTTATTCTTCTGTTTGATAAATTTTTCTGATCACAGAAGAATACGAAAGATGTGTTTCTTCATGACTCAGGTTCTTCAGCGTGCTCATGGTGCAGCCAGAACATAGTCATGAAGATCACTCACTTCTATCCATTCTACAGCACCTTGCAAAGACGTGCCTGCCATACACTTGTCATTCCAACCAGCCTAGTAGCTGAACTACACATTGGCTAATTGTAGGAAGCTGGGGTGTTGACAAGTCTCGCAGATTCTTCCTGTTAGAAGACCAGGCTCCCAAATAACCCCTCTCAGGGATGCACAATCCTATGTAACATGATCCTCCAGCAAGACTGGGGCAAGTAATAGTCACCACTCTTCCCCAAACGTTATGAATCTCACAGTGGTTGTTTATGCAGCTTAGTGCACAGGCTGTGCAGGTATCAAAGAGGAGATTTATCCCCCACAAAGTGATTATTTTTGCTGAGGTCATTACTCATGAGAGACTCAGATTACAACAGACAAGACCTTTCAGCCCCTGATCCCAACATTACAGTTGGAACATGGCAATAACGGTCAAACTAAGAACAAAGGTTTATTTTAGCTGACTGCTACTGCTTTGTTCCTCAAGCAATCGTCTCACAGACAGCTCCAGAAGTAAATGGAAAAGGCACTCTGCCCTTGAGAACAACCTGACTGAACATAAAACTGGAAGCCTGAGGAATGCCAATGAACAAGAACTGTGCTGCATGAGGCACAACGCCGGGCAAGATGTCTTCCTTCCTCTTCCAAGTTCTGCAGGCAACTGCTCCCCCCTCCACGCAGTGCCCAGTACCTCGAGAAGAGCTGAAAGCTGTATTTATAAGCCACACTGTAAAGATGAAAATAAGTTGCTGCACCAAAAAGGAAAAGCAACGAGTTTTCCTTTCACAGATACATATAACATCAGTTAGGAAAGCTACACCTGGTAATGGCATTTTCAAGACTTCATCTTAGCCACATATTTGAACATGCAAACTCCTAACATGCATTATTGGATCATTATGGGTAGTAGCACATGTACCAGGAAAAGCAAGTTTATCCAATATTAATCATGTCAATTATGCAAATTTCAATTTTACAGTTCAAATATTAATCTTTTCCTTTTCTCCCCATTCTGCAGCCTCCATAGGACATGAATGTTGTCTCTGAATGAGAAAGCCATCAGAGCCATACGTTAGCCAGTGACTCATGTGACATATTGATGGTGCTAAAAGGATCTGAATTGGTACTAGCAAAGTCTTCGCAAAGGAAGCAGTAGCACAAGACTGATCCTAACTACAGCTCTCATAAGAGAGAGCTTTTTTTTCATGCTGCAAAGCCTTCCTCGGAAGCCCTCAAAAAAAAATGGACATATTACGTCTGCTAAAATAAAAGACAATCTCAAAGATTAGCTTTCAGTTTGTCTTTAAGTTCTGTACCAAAAAAGTTATAGGCAAGAAATCACACAATCTAGATGTAATTTTTTATATATGTTGAGCAACTTGTTATAAAAATAAAATAGCAATTTACAAGCCAGCTTAAAAAGAGGTTCCATCATAATTACAACTTTGCATGTCCTTCACAAGATAAAGGGCTACAGCTTCTACTATCAAGGACATATATGCTGTCTGTCCATCAGAACATGCATAAAACTTGTTCAACAAAACGCATTAACAGAGTGGTTCATGGAGCAAGGAATAAACTAGAATAATACAGTACACTATGGTTCACTGGTCTCCGCTTCAAAGAGAAATAGGATAGCCTCATTCTTTTTGTCTTTTCTGCCGAGTGAGCATCTGGATGAACATTTATAAATCCTAATCCATGCCAGACTATTTCAGAAACAACACAGAGCTCAGAAGAGACCCCCTTCAAGTTTACAGCTGAGAGATATAGCTCCCAGTATTCATTAGGTATCCTGCCAGATAATTAAATGGATTAGTCAATAAAAAAACCTGTGGACAATTAATCACTCATAAGACTACTATTTTTATAAACAAGTTTCAGGCTCCATTAGCTCATTTATTGAGTTCCCTTCAAATAATCAATTCAGTTCAGCTGCTTGTGCAAAGTTACTGGTCAACATAAAACTTATGCAAAAACTGCCACGCAGAAAACAGAAGCAGAAAAATTTTGCAGCATTTGCCACAACTATCTAGCGGAACAAATACTTTCAACATTTCAATGCCTTTCTAGAATCCATATTAATTGACCACTGCTGCTTTGACAGAAGTACCTTTCTGTCACTCCATCAACCCAGCTTGATGTTATCGCAGTTCCCGAAGTTACACCTGTACTTTTAGTAACTCCAAATATCAAAAGAATAATATTTATCTTGGGCTCCACCTGCCTGCTTTGAAACAAGAGTGTTTGGAGGTCCTATACAAACAGTTCAACTTTCTGTTTAATTTATTCAGACAGAAGTGTTTAAGCCAGCTAAAACAGAGCCACCCCTTAAAATAGCACCAATACTTAATTGGCCAAGGAGGCAACAAGTGTATTTTGGTACTTTCTTCAACAAAACCTGATGTTGCATCTCCAACACCTGCTGTGTTTTTATACCCCAGGCTGGATGTTAGCCTTAAAATTCTTAAGTAAAAACCTACTGTGTGACTCAAGTTTGGATACACCTAAATTTAAGACAATTAACAAGTATAAAGAGGAAAATAAACCTGAAAAGAGGCTGTCATAGTACATAAACATT